GCATGCCAATTTGGGTGCATGAACATGTAAGAGCTGTGCATCATAGTACACCTAAGCATCATAACACATCATATGACAATTATATTTTCCCAGTATGTCTTGAATAGCATAGTTTAAGCTGGACTTTTCAAAGATTAGAAGCCAAGGTCAGCCACAGTTAGTACTTGGATGGAGGACCATCAAGGAAGACTGAGGTTCCTATACAGAGGAAGCCAATGGCAAACCATCTCTGCTCATCTCTTGCCTTGCCAACCCCATGGTCCTGTGATTGCCATGAGGCAGTTGCAACTTGTTGGCACATGATTATGATTAGTATATCTTGAACAATGTGGTTTACTTTTGTGTATATATGCCTAGGATTTCACTGCATACCAAACAAATATTAGTTACAAAGTCACTATTGAATATGTGTGTGGGTATGGGTTTGGTATAGTGGTTAAGAGCATGGACTCTAATCTGGGAGAACCGGGTTGGATTCCCTGCTCTTCCACATGACGTTGCTGGCATGACCTTGGGCCAGTCACAAGTTATTTCAGAGCTGTTCTCTCATGAGCCGTCCTTGAAAGAGTGCTCTCAGCCCCACCTACTTCACAGGGGAGGGAAAGGGAAAGGGATTGTAAGCTGCTCTGAGACTCCTTTGGGTAGTGAAGGGTGGGGTACAAATCCAATCTCCTCCTCCTCCTCCTCCTATATAGGAGTGTGCACTGTGAAATCATCATTTTAATTACATATTATAATTTAGTGAACAAAAAGTTATTGGTTTTAAGAATTCTCAGAAATGTTGATGTATCATTAGATCCATGATTTCAATTTCTGTTTTCATTAAGATCGGATTGTATGTCTATCCATTGTTTTCCATATCCAGAAAATAGCAGATCTTCCTGAGTGGACGTTTTTTCACCAAATGGTGTCAAAATATCAGGGAAAATAATCCACTGTCTCTTCTAAAGATGCCCCAAGTTTCAAATGAATTGGACAAAGGGGCCCAATTTACAGCCACTTGAATAAATGCCCCCAGGCATCCTCTCTAGTTAGTAGAAAATGCTGTGAAAATGGCCCTTGTTTTTTAGCAGCTTAAAAAAAACAGACTTCATAACTGCAAGTAAAAGTGGTCCTTCCAGAGTATCTGCCTAATGAGACGTCCACCTATCCTGCAAATCATGTGGTTGTGGAAGAATGGGAGCCTACATATCCAAACTTAAGCAATGAAAAAAGTGATGTTACAGAAAACCACTAATTAATCTGCAGAAATGCAGAAAACATGTAACTACTAACTAAAGGCAACTAGAAAGGTCAACAAACCAAGAAAAAAAACCCAAAGTGAAAACAAGAAACAAACTTCTCAGAAGTACAAGAAAAGAAAGGCAGAAGATCAAACATTAAACCTCACAGAATCCAAACCTACAATAAAAATAATATCTGTCCTGAACTCTCACTGGCAACCAAATATACTGCCCTTACTAACCATCCCCTGGGGGAAAGGATGGAGGCCAGCTAGTAGCAATAATAAAGTAATCAGACCAGTCTGTCAAGAAGCACCATACAGGCAAAATCTGGATAGCAGTGATCTGATATAATCCAAGCATGGTGTCTCCAAGATGCAAGGAGCAATGCGTGCAGCACACACACAGCACATATGTGGTGAAAATGTAATGGATGGTTGCAGTTTAAAATTTCCCTTCCCCTCCAAGAAATACTGTGTGAATGGCTAAGACAATTTGCCTAATTGGTGTCGAGGCTAAGATTAGCTGGGGAAAACACTGGCCCTTTTCGCACTCTCCTTTTAACCCATGTTCCCTGCAGTGTCCTCCAAGCAATTCTGCACTAAAACCGAATCCAACCTTCTTTTAGATCCACCCCCCCCCCCGCACTAAAATCGAGTTCAACCTTCTTTATATTCTGGATTTCGCCCCCATTCTGCATTACCTTACCTTCCTTCAGTGGTCAGCCCAGTTTCAGCCTGTTGTTACCCTGGGTTATTTGGATACCGTTTTGCTGTGGATTTAAATTGCCTTAAACACTGAGAAAATCTGAAGTGGCAGGCAAATGCGGAAAGGGCCACTGTTTCATGGAGAATGGGGAGAAACTTTAGGGGGGGGATAGGCAGACAGGCTTTATTAAATTCTTTGGGTTGCCAGGCAACTGGCAGGAGGCTTGTGGGGGGCAGTGTCCAGGGAGAAAAATTAAAATACCATATAGTTTCTGGCGATTGCTGGAGATACTCTGTCACTTCCAGGTAGCTCTAGAAACTGCCAGGAACTCTATGATCAGTTCTTCCTGTAAGTAGACAAGGTGTTATTTTTCTTTTTCATTTTACAACCCCTCCCCCATTTGTCCCCAATTTCTACTCACCAATTAGGTGAGTATTAGCAGGCAAGGGCCACCAGGAAGTCTCCTGCCATAAGCAGGCAAATAGGAACCCTGTTAATTGTTTGTTGGATCCCCAAGCATCGAGAATAAATCCACGTTTTAAGAAAAGCAAAATTTATTTCAAAGCGTTGACGACATACTCAAACACGTTCTTTGTTAGAACTGGGGATACACAGTTAGATCAAGCATAATAAAGGAACTTCAAAGAGATACAGGTCCAATGAATAACTTTCCCGCTGGCGGGCTAATGGAACGGTTGCGCGCCCAGTCCATGGGAACCAGGCAGGATATTTAGACATAACACAGGTGCAGTAGTCATGGGAAAAGCAATAGCCAAGCATTACAGCATCTTCTCCCCCACACAACCTCCAGCAGTTATCTTTTGCATTCCAACGCAGGAGTAGGATGATAGAAACCAAGCCGGGTGCAACAGGGAAAGAATATGTACATAGAGGTCACAGAAAACAGAATGGCAGCTTGCTGACATACTGCCCCCCTTAAAATACACTTACAACACACCTCCCGGGCCGGGCGGGAGATCTCCCGGGCTGGGCGGGAGACCTCCCGGTTTGTCCGGGAACCTTCTGTGGAAACTACGGATCAGGTAAGGGGCCCGAATATCCCCTTCTTCCACCCATTCGCGGTGCTGGGGACCGAAATCAACCCATTCGATAAGGTACCAGAGTTTACCACGTTTCACTTTACAATCCAGGATATCAGCGATCTCAAAATGTTCATCCCAAAATGACAGGTGGAGGAGGAGTAGTTACAGGTCTCCATGGAGACGGGCCAGGATCCTTCTTTAACAGGCTCATGTGAAATACAGAATGCAAGGCACGTAAATTCTTAGGCAAAACAACATCAACTGCCACATCATTTATGACTTTGCGCACTTTGAAAGGGCCTATGAACTTCCATCCCAATTTCCTGCTAGGCCGCAGCATCTTAATGTTCTTGGTTGAGACATACACAAGATCCCCAGGTTTCAGATCAAACCCCACCACCCTACCCTTGTCTGCCTGGGTCTTGTAAGCAGCCTTGGCTGCGTCAAGTGTTTGGCATAACAGAGGCCATGCTTTTTGCAAGGACATACACCAGGTATCAGCATCCCCCACAGGACGTTGGCCCATCCCCTCCAAGAAAGGGAGGGGGGGGCTGTCGTAACCAGAGACAGCTTTATACGGAGACATGCCTGTGGAGCTATGGACAGTATTATTATAACAATATTCAGCAAGAGGCAATAAGTCACACCAATCATTCTGTTGATAATTAGTAAAACAACGCAAATATTGTTCCAGGGTCTGATTAACTCGTTCCGTCTGTCCGTCAGTCTCGGGATGATACGCGCTGCTGAGTCCTTGTTCCACCCCTAAAATGGAAAGAAGTTCCCTCCAAAATTTAGAAACAAATTGGGTCCCCCTGTCAGAAATTAACTTAGTAGGTAATTGATGAATTTTCACCACGTGAGACATAAACGATTTCGCCAACCTTTGAGCTGTAGGCAAGGAAGGAAAAGGTACAAAATGAGCTTGTTTAGAAAACAAATCAACAACCACCCAAATGACAGTGTTCCCTTTGCTCGCAGGGAGGTCAGTAATAAAATCCATGGATACCACTTCCCATGGTCTCGATGGAGTAGGGAGTGGCTGTAGAAGACCAGGAGGCTTGCCCAATCTGGGTTTAGTCAAGGCACATGTTTGGCAGGACCGAACAAACATCAAGAGGTCTTTGCGCATATGTGGCCACCAGAACTGTCTGCGGATGAGTTGTAGAGATTTAACAAAACTCCAATGCCCTGCCAGTTTCGAACCATGAGCAGACTCCATCACCTCCCTCCTCATTGAAATAGGCACATACAGTTTGTCTCCAGAATAAATCAGACCATCAGGGCTACGGACACAATCAGGCAACGTTGTCAGGGAGGCATCATCCTCAACAGTCAAAGCAGACAGATATTTTTGGACCCAGGCCCCCCCCCCCACAGGGAAAAGGGAAGGCGTAGTCTCATCAGAGTGTGGAATTGCCCGCGCTTGCGCCCTGGTGACCACGGCCCCCCCCAGATGGGAGGGGGAAAAGACAGAGTCCATGATGATCTCACGCTGACTGTCATGTTGTGGGAGGCGTGAAAGCGCGTCAGCCAGGGAATTCGCCGCCCCAGGGAAATGACGAAGAGTGAATCGAAACTTAGCAAAGAAGTCCGCCCAACGAAGTTGCTTAGCGTTGAGAGAACGGGGGGATTTCAGCATCTCCAAATTCTTATGGTCAGTCCAGACTTCAAATGGCAGTTGCGCCCCCTCCAACCACTGCCTCCACGTGGAGAGAGCCAGCCGGATTGCTGACGCCTCCTTTTCCCAAATCCCCCAGTTTCGTTCAGCGTCAGAAAACTTTTTAGACACAAATGCGAGGGGATGTAAACGACCATCCTCCCCCTCCTGCAAAATCGCGGCCCCCATTGCCACATCCGAGGCATCAGTTTGGACAATGAATTTCTTAGTTTCATCAGGGCGCGCCAGCACTGGCTCAGAGGTGAACATCAGTTTAAGTTTCTCAAAAGCCTCTGCGCAAGCAGGGGACCATTTAAGCGGGGCGCCTGGTTTCGTAGCATCAAACCCCTTTCCCTTGGTTTTGAGCAAATCAGTCAGGGGAAGGGCAATTTGAGCGAAATTCTGGATGAAATTTCTGTAAAAATTGGCAAATCCGAGGAACATTTGCAATTGTTTGCGGGTCCTGGGGGGCTCCCAGTCAAGTACAGCTTGAATTTTAGCAGGGTCCATTTCAACCGTCCCCCCAGAGATGCGATAGCCCAAAAAGTCAATGCATGTCTTGTGGAATTCACATTTTGACAGCTTTGCAAACAAGTGGTGTTCATAAAGTCGTTTAAGGACCTTGCGCACCAATTTAATATGCGACGGGAGGTCCTGAGAGTACAGCAACACATCATCAAGGTAAAGGACCACTCCCTTGAATAGAAACTCATGTAGGACCTCATTGATAAGGTTCATGAAGACCCCCGGAGCCCCTTGAAGGCCGAAGGGCATAACGAGGTACTCAAACTGCCCCAAAGGGGTATTAAATGCAGTCTTGCTTTCATCCCCCTCCCGGATGCGCACACGGAAATATGCATCCCGGAGGTCAAGTTTCGAGAAGATTTTGCCCTTGGTGGCCTCAGCTACCAAGTCCTTGATTAGCGGGAGGGGGTAAGCATTGGATAAAGAAACAGCATTCAGACCCCTATAATCAGTGCACAATCTGAGCCCCCCGTCTTTCTTCTTTCGGAAAAGTACAGGCGCGGCGAAAGGGGAGGAAGCCGGGCGAATGAAACCTCGGGCTAGGTTTTTATCAATAAAGTTCCGCAGTTCAACTTTCTCAGCCGGCCCCATCGCATAAATTTTACCTTTGGGCAATTTACAGTCAGGCAAAAGTTCAATAGCACAGTCAGTCGAGCGATGGGGGGGCAATTCGTTAGCTTCCTCTTCGCCAAACACTTTCGCCAAGTCTCTATACTCTCGAGGCAAAGAAGCTAACTCTTCCGGTTGCAAAGTGCCGCAGGGGAACTGCGCGGTCGGCTGGTCCCCCCACGAGTCCACCCAGCAGTGATTTACACACTTAGCCGACACAAACTTGACAACCCCTTCTTCCCACAAGATGTAAGGGTCATGGGTAAACAACCAGGGACTCCCCAGAACTAAGTCGAATTGCGATTTAGGGGTGACAATGAAGGATCTGGATTCCCAATGATCGCCCGCCCCCAGCCGCAAAGCCATAGTCTCGTGCGTACAAGGTTCCATGGGTGCCCCATCCATCTGGGTAAAAATGATGGGAGACTTCAAGGGGGCTATCCCCGCTTCCAGTGCCAACAACACTCTAGGGCTGATGAGATCCCTCCCACACCCAGAATCAATCAACGCTCTCACCCTAACGTGGGTTCCCAGGAGCGGATTCATTAATGAGACAGTCACGAAAAATAGGGAAGGGGTTTCTCTCACCACCTTGGGCGCAGCATTAGAATGGCCTTGTCGTTTTGCGCCTCTCACAACAGGCCGTTGTCGTTTTCCGCCGTTTCAGGCACCACCTCTTCTTCTGACTCGGCAGCAGACGGATCGTTCCCCTCCGAGCCTTGGGCCGCCTGCAAAGCTTTGGAGAAACGCGGTTTAGCCATTCCCTTCTTCCCCGTCAGCGGTGTCTTCGGGCTTGGAGTAGGCGGCTGTACTTTACGGCTGCCACAATCCACAGCGAAGTGCCCCTTCTCCCCGCACTTGAGACAGAGCCCCATCTTCATACGTAGTTCTCGTGCTGATTCCGACAGGCGTTGAGGCTTGGGTTTGGAGGCACCGGCAGCGGCGGGTCTGTTGGTCGTAGCAGCCAGGTCGAGTTTGATGGTGGTGAGCCGGTCTTCCGCATTTTCAGCTTCCTGGGTCCAGGCCATTAGGGAGACAGGGTTGACAGTTTTCAGAACCGTTTCTCGGATATCTGCGTTGAGACCCAAGCGATACATCTCAGCTAATATATGGTCAGGGTAGTCTCGGAGCTTTGCGGCTTGCTTGTGGAATTCCAGAGTGTACTCGCGAACCGACTTCTTGTTCTGGCGATAGGTGCGGAGAAACGCTTTAGCCCTTTGACTCGCGTTGACATCTTCAAATCTCGCCCGCAGCGCCCACATGAATGCTCGCAAATTCAAAAGTTCCGGACCGCGGTCATTGTGCAGTCCAACATACCATGTGGCGGCGTCTCCTTTCAGTCTTGCCGAGATGACATCAATAAGACCAGCTTCATTTCGGAACAGGTGTCGACTTTCTTCTACGAATTTATGCACCCTCACCGTGAAGAAAGCGAGTTCATCTGGGTTGCCGTCGAAGGTAGCCTCCAGTAGATCCTTGGGTCTGGGCCGTGGAGGCCTTACCAACGGGCCCAGCTGAGCCGGAACTCCCCTGGGAGGGAAACCCGGCACAACCGGTGGCCCCGCTGGCATTGGCCTCAGTGGTGGCGGCAGACCCGGCACCGGCGGACCCCCCGGCATCGGCGGTTGCACAGGCACTTGCAGAGGCGGTCTCACTGGCGGCTGTACAGGGACCTGCTGCGCTGGAACTCCCGGTGCTTGCAGCGGTGGTCCCGTCAGCGGTTGAGCAGGCATCGGCGGCGCGGGAAGTCCCGGTGCAGGAGCAACTTGTTGCTGCGCGGCGTGTGCGTCAAGGAAATTAGCCATTCGAACGTCCATCATTCCCGGCAGACCTTCCATCACATCCTGGAATGCCCGCAACAAGTCTCTCACCGAGTCTTCCAGTTCTGCTAGTCGTTCCCCGGTGGTTTCTTCCGGGATGGGGTCCCGAGGGCGGTAGTCCGGGGGTGGGTCATAGTCCTCTTCCGTTGGGAAGACTCCGGTGCCCTCCTCATCTCCTGCGTGGCCCCGCGGTCCCGACGGCTCGAACATCCACTCCTCGAGGTCCCGCTCGGGGCTCCCCTTCTCCGAGGTAGCCCCCGGCTCCGGGAACAATCCCTTGTCAAATAGACTCTCACGTAATCCGCTCCCCCGACGGGAGTACACCTCACGGGTGCCCTGGGTGTTGTACATAGTCCAATCATCCTCCAACGAGGCGGCAGTCGTGAACACCAAAGACGCGGAGGTCTGTGGGACCGATCCAGAGTCCCCCTCCGTGGTAGGTAGGTTTCCCTCAATTCCGCTCATGATCACGCCAGATTCGGAACGATAGGAAAAAGAGAGTTCTAACAATATGTTGGATCCCCAAGCATCGAGAATAAATCCACGTTTTAAGAAAAGCAAAATTTATTTCAAAGCGTTGACGACATACTCAAACACGTTCTTTGTTAGAACTGGGGATACACAGTTAGATCAAGCATAATAAAGGAACTTCAAAGAGATACAGGTCCAATGAATAACTTTCCCGCTGGCGGGCTAATGGAACGGTTGCGCGCCCAGTCCATGGGAACCAGGCAGGATATTTAGACATAACACAGGTGCAGTAGTCATGGGAAAAGCAATAGCCAAGCATTACAGCATCTTCTCCCCCACACAACCTCCAGCAGTTATCTTTTGCATTCCAACGCAGGAGTAGGATGATAGAAACCAAGCCGGGTGCAACAGGGAAAGAATATGTACATAGAGGTCACAGAAAACAGAATGGCAGCTTGCTGACATTGTTCCAGGAAGACTGCCTCAGATATAGCCTACCCAATCCAATGCTGGGTAAATTGGATGACTTTTAAGGTTGGCAATTCTTAAATCAGGATAAAATAAGGTAATCTCTCAGTACAGTTTTATCTCAGTCTTTCTCCAAGGTGTACATGGCTCTTATTTCCCCATTTTAATCTTCACAGCACCACTTTGAAGTAGGTTAGACTGAATGGCTCAAGGTCTACCAGTAAACTTCATGGCAGATTGGGACCTGAAGCAAGGTCACCTAGTTCATACTCCACCTAGTTCATACTAACCTGTAGACCACACTGCCTCTTAGTTGTTGTGTAAGAAATAATCTTTGGAACTGGAGAGTATCACCAAAACACTCCACACAAAAGCATGTACACATATGTAACTCTACTGAACAGTCATCTGGAGCTCCAGACAGTATTTTTATGAATGACTTCTCTTACTAGGTAGGGAGTTCCCTCCTGAGATGAAGAAAGGACTTCCTGACATACAAGCATTTTTCATTATAGATGTATTTTCCCCCACCTCCACCCCACAAATGTAGCAAGCATAACAATTGTCAAAGAGTTTGCCACTATCTGCAACTGACAGAAGGCCTTGGGCTGCTCTACTGTATATATCATTGGCATAAACGTATTGCTGATAGCATAGCTGTTCCAGGAAACAGTGTGCGGCTTTGAACTGTGCACTCTAGGTGGCCAGCAGCCAGCTTGTTTTAACCATGAAAATATCTAAAGGGGACATAATGAAATGCATTCTGTATTATCTATAAACTGTGGGAGAAGGCAAAGCTGTATTTAAAATGCATTCCATTAATTCCAGAAATGCCTTCTTTCTAACATTTAAAATTAGTTTCAAACCTCAACCATCAGTGGAACATGGACGAAGGGAAAACGAAATCCTCCTGACAGTGCCGAACTTGAAGTTTCATTTTGCTCTATTTCCAAAGCCCTCTTTGTTCACGTTCTTGATTTAATCCTACAATGATGGTGCTATAGCCTTTTCTTAACTACTCTCTAGTCAAACATGCTACTGAAATGGCCGTATTTACTTTCAAGCTATGCATATACCCAGAGCTACTCTTTATCATTACTCATATCTATAAAGAGCTAAGTTCTGGCATTCAGAAAAAAACCCTAGTGCTATCCTGGCTAACATCAGACCATAGATAATTGTCATATGATTTGTTATGATAATGGAGATACACTGCGTTGCATGGCTTCTTCATGCTCATGCATTTATATTTGTACATTTATATGCATGCTCTAGAGGAAAGGTGAATCCACTGACACCATAATGCCCCACTCTGAATGGGTATTTTCAAATCCTTGGAAGAGGACTGATAATTGAAGAATGACAATTCTGCCACATCATTTTCAGTGAGGCGTCCACAAAATGACACAATCGGGACAATTTAAGAAGGATGGGTAAATTCTGCTGGTAAATGGGGACACTGGAGTGTACTAGGGTTGCCACGTTTTTCACAGTGAACCTGTTTGGCAAACATACCATTTGACAGAAGCACTTTGCACATTACCGTGAATGCACATACACCCTGCATGTACGTGCAGGCATCTGTTTGGAAGGAAGAGCTGACATATATTCACCTTTACAAATTGTGAAACTGGGGATCAGTACTTGGATAAATTGTAGTTTCAATCGCACATTCAGCTGTACATGCTTTGAATCAAACATGAGAATTACTCAACACACATAAAAAGAAAAAAATAAGCATACACTGTACATAGATTGTATGTGTATTCACTGTAATCTGCACACAGGGCTACTCATGCTCATGCTGAGGGCAAAACAAAGCTATGTTGGGACTGCATCCAGTAATTCAAATAGCTGCTGACCAAGTTTGCAGCTGCCTTTTGCTCAGAAGCCAACTTACATACTATCAATTGGGTTCTGACCCCACCCCCCCGAAAAATAACCACAATGAAAATGGAGATCAGAAGCAATGCTTTTCATCTCCCCATTGCTAAAGGGAGATGAGAGGTTTTTTCTCTTCTTTTCTCTGCAGCCCAAACCAACAACTTGGGGTGGGGACAAGAAAAGGAATCTGTTTTTTTTCTCTCCACCCCAAACCAAACTAAGAGAGAAGAATCTCCTCCTTTTATCTGCAGTCCAAGCTGGCAGCCTGGGTTGGAAATAAGAGATAGGACATCAGTTTGGCTTCTAACCCAC